CTCGTGTGGACAGCTTCCTGTCGGCTTTCACTGTTCACAGTCAAACATGCAGTATTCTGCTGGTATGCTGAAGACTCGACGTTAGTAAAAATATTTCTAGTCCTTGTTTCCGTAATCACTATGATTTCAAAGGAAGGGGAGATTACCCCCTTGCCCAACCCCCAACCTGGAGGACCAGGGTAATTTGTTTATGGTTTCCTTCCACTAGATCTATGGCTTTCCATGGCTAACGAGACTAGATCTGCCCGTGATTTTTAGCTCTACTGGTCAGAGACCAGAAGAGCTTATGCGATAGTAATGCGTCCGGCGTCCGTCCGTCTGTCCGTCTGTCTGTCTGTCTGTCCGTCTGTCCGTCTGTCTGTAAACAATTTTTCAAAATGCTACTCCTCCTACAGTTTTGGTCTAATTTCAATATAACTTGGCACACAAGTAGACTATCCTAAGATACATAATTCTGTGTATCGGTTTTTGATTTGGATGAACGGTGTTGCCGTGGTTACTAAAATTAGAAATTTCTGTGAAATTCTTTCAAAATGATACTCCTCCTTCAATTTTGGTCTGATTTCAATATAACTTGGCACACAAGTAAACTACACTAAGATACATAATTCTATGTATCGGTTTTTGATTTCGATGAACGGTGTTGCAGTGGTTACTAAAAATAGAAATTTCTGTAAAATTGTTTCAAAATGCTACTCCTCCTACAGTTTTGGTCTGATTTCAGTATAACTTGGCACACAAGTAGACTACACTAAGATGCATAATTCTGTGTATAGGTTTTTGATTTCGATGAATGGTGTTGCCGTGGTTACTAAAAATAGAAATTTCTGTAAAATTGTTTCAAAATGCTACTCCTCCTACAATTTTGGTCTGATTTCAGTATAACTTGGCAATCAAGTAGACTACACTAAGATACATAATTCTGTTTATCGGTTTTTGATTTCGATGAACGGTGTTGCCATGGTTACTAAAAATAGAAATTTCTGTGAAATTCTTTCAAAATGCTACTCCTCCTACAGTTTTGATCTGATTTCAGTATAAGTTGGCAAACAAGTAGAATACACTAAGATACATAATTCTGAGTATCGGTTTTTGATTTCGATGAACGGTGTTGCCGTGGTTACTAAAAATAGAAATTTCTGTAAAATTGTTTCAAAATGCTACTCCTCCTACAGTTTTGGTCTGATTTCAGTATAACTTGGCACACAAGTAGACTACACTAAGATACATAATTCTGTGTATCGGTTTTTGATTTCGATGAACGATGTTGCTGTGGTAACTAAAAATAGGAATTTCTGTAAAATTGTAAATGTTTCAAAATGCTACTCCTCCTACATTTTTGGTCTGATTTCAGTATAACTTGGCACACAAGTAGACTACACTAAGATACATAATTTTGTGCATCGGGTTTTGATTTTGATGAACGGTGTTGCAGTGGTTACTAAAAATAGAAATTTCTGTAAAATTGTTTCAAAATGCTACTCCTCCTACAGTTTTGGTCTGATTTCAGTATAACTTGGCAAACAAGTAGAATACACCAAGATACATAATTCTGTTTATCAGTTTTTGATTTCGATGAATGGTGTTGTCGTGGTTACTAAAAATAGAAATATCTGTAAAATTGTTTCAAATTGCTACTCCTCCTACAGTTTTGGTCTGATTTCAATATAACTTGGCACACAGGTAGAATACACTAAGATACATAATTCTGTATATCGAATTTTAATTTTGAAGAACGGTGTTGCCGTGGTTACTAAAAATAGAAATGTCTGTAAAATTGTTTCAAAATGCTTCTCCTCCTACAGTTTTGGTCTGATTTCAGTATAACTTGGCACACAAGTAGACTACACTAAGAACATAAAGAGACTTTATCAACGATCATTATTCTATTTAATGCTGTTTATAAAGTTTCAAATCCCAGCTGCTTAAGTACTTTCTCTTCCTTTGCTATAAGTTCAAACCAGTAGAGCTTCAGTCTCGACAGAGACTTCTGGTTAAATTAGAGTTTATCTTCTCCTAGGTAACTGCTTTACTCAGCTAACGCCCTTACCTGAGCGGATTTCTATAGGGTTTACTCCTTAGCCTTTCCTTCTCCAAAAGGTAACCACAAGGCAGCGGTTTGTTACTATTTACCCATAGCTGGGGACTAGGATTGCAGGCATCAGGGCATATCCACACGCCGGTAGGCCATGCATGCCGTGCATTTAGGGGCCTAGTCTCCTCCAAGACCTTGTGGTTCTGCTTGGGGCCGCAAGGTACCCAATTTCCATCTGCTACCTCGAGGAGGATCCCATATCTGGGCCACATAGGTCTAACTGTGGAGAGGCTATACCTGGCAGGGAAGACTTACGTATTTTGCTTCCTTTTCACAGCAAACTGTTAGCCAGGGGTGGTGCTGAAAGCGAGAGCGACAAGCACAGACACAGACAAACACACACACTGTACGCATCACACAGCCATTATAGCAGATGATCTTATGCTTAGAGACGCTTTATCGAATGAGTATCAAGACGCGTTGCAAAGTACATGCATAGCTTGGATCGAAAGGCCAAGGCATCTTGATGCATGATCAATCATGCATTCGCTAAATAAATATTTTAATCCTAATAAGCGCACTTCTGAATCCCAGTCAGCTGTTTCAGATGTAAACAATAATGACCTCGTCCATGTTAACTCAACACAGGAAGGTGTTAGCTTCACTGCTTCTGTCAAAACCGTTAGAAATGGGAACGTGAGTTTCACATTTCACTAGACTTCATTGCCACGGATCAAATTGTCTCATCTATATGGTGCAATGTTTGCCGAGAATTTTTTGCTTCCTCAATTTTGACTATAATCGTGAATCAAATAAATAAATGAAATGTTTATGGGTGTTAGTGTATCATTCATTTCTTTGATGTATAGATTAAGTGTAACTTGTCTACCAAGTCATATTCTGAAATTTGATGCATGTTATACTGTATATTCTTACAAAAACATTAAGAATAATATGAAAATTCAAAATGCAGGCACATACTAAGTGTTCCCTGTCAAAACAAAAACAAAAGGAGAGGTATGACTGTATCTTTAATTTTTAAAAAAGTAAACTTTGAAAATTGCTGGTAAGAATTTAATTTTGCTAGTAGGAAAAAGAGTCACTAGCTAAAATTTGCTAGTGGTTAAAAAAGTTAATTTCGATCCCTGTAGAACCTGCTGGGACTGAGAAAAAACTAAGAGATATCTAAGGATTTGAGATATCGAGGGTAAAATACTTAAAGAATATGTGGTAGGGACTTCCACATCACTTTGACATATCCAATATAAATATAAATTGTAAAGAATGAAGCTTATTTCAACTTATATCATACGATATGACAAAACTTGGTGCAGTTTACGCTTTTTTCGCAGTTTATAAAGCGTAAACTGCCCCAGGTTATGACATATCGTATAATATAGTTAAAATAAGCTTCATTCCTGAAATGCACTTAACACTGAACATTATTGTTAACTTTGGGGTTGGATTTTTGTTGCAGAATTGTAAATTACAATACATGATAAAATTCCTTCACAAATTCAATCATTCCTTTTCAGGAAGAAAAGCAAGAAAGAAAACAGCAAGCAAAGCGAAAGAGACAGAGGCTATAGAACTGAGTGAAAATTTGGTGGAGAAAAGTGAAACAGAAAATAACAATGATGGTGGGGAAACAGATGAGGAGGATGAAGAAACAAACAATGAGGAATTAAATGGTGCAATACAAAATACAGAGACACATACAGAGACTGTTGATAGCCCTGCAGTAAGTTTACACAATAAACCTGTAAATATAAAGCAACAGACTAAAGCTTCACCAATGCAGAGACTAGAGTTAGCAATGAGATCTGTGGTCAAGCGGTCGATAAAATCCAATTCTGTGGTCATGGAGAGGAATCTAAACTTTAGCAGTAGTGAGGAGGAGGAAGGGGATTATCTCCCCTTGTCACAGAGACTCCAATTAAAAATAGCTAAATCGAGGGGATTCAGTGAACGCCCATCTGATGGGTCCCTGGGTCAGCCCCAGGGTAAGATTGGAGGGGGAGAGGATGTGATGGTGAGGGCTATATCTCAGGGTGTGTCTAGTTCTCTTAGGGGCTTCTCTAGTGACAGTGATGCTGAAGATCTGTATACATTTCCCTCCCATCCAGAAACTAGAAATGGTCAGGGGGATATAGCAGGAAATGTGGGACATGATGATGATATAAAAGAAAATTGTCATAGTGCCGTGAATGTGAATGGTTCAGATCAAGAAATTTCACGTGTGGAAACATCACTTCCTGGAAATTATGACAATCACGATACTTCTTTGGGAACTCCAATGTGGCAACAAAATTCAATTAATTCTAAATTACAGAAGTTGGACAGGACAGAATTTCTGGACATGCCTAAGCTTAACTTCACAGTTGTGACACCAGATTTGCAGCATAAAAAAGAATCTAGCACTGGGCTCAGACCAAAGTTGTCTGCTTCAACCCCTGACAGGTCAGAGGACTGTGTGTCCAGGTTTTCCCACAATCTGTCAAATCTTAGTCCTCACCTGGCAGAGGATGTGATGATCTCACCTCTCCTTAAGTTAGATTCTTTACAGAGCCCAAGAGACTCTTGTCAGAAGCCACAAGGTAGTCCAAGTGTGTCAGTTTTGTGGGAGAATAAGTCCTTCAACAATACAAATGTTGCCATTGATTTTGGTAACTTTGAAGTACAGACTTCACTGCTTAACTCATTCAGTAAACTTAACATCACAGAAGGGGAGCTGTCATCTATGATGACTAGTTTTCAGGAAAAAGTCTCGAAAACTCCCTCTGGGATTAATAGTCATGTGAATGGAAAACATTCTGAAACCTCTGAAATCAAGTGCAATAACAATACTCAGGATCAAACCTCTGTGATATTTCTTAATGATAGTGACTCTGTATGTGATAGTGACAGCATAGTGATTAATGAAGAAACTAAGGCCAGGGATGAAAAACTGAAAAGTACCACACAAACAATATCTGCATTACGGACAATCAGCGTGGAATCTTCCAAGAGTCCACAGACTGGGTCAAGTAAGGAGAAGACGAGGGTCTCTGGCCTGAGTTCTCCTGTGTGTGGGGGGAAGGAGAATGTTGTGAGTGACAGAAGGGAGGAGTGTAGTAAACAAAGCCCCATGTCTCTGATAGAGAGACTGAGACAGAGGCTGGGTAATAACACAGACTCCAGTATCATCAATAGAATCAAGTATGGACCACTGTCTGTCAAGCCAGTCAAATAGTTTTAAAACCTTTATACAAAATTTATGTTTGTTAAAAAAAACTGTATGATACTTTTATACTTGTTAATGTTGTACATTATTATAGACTTGTATATTTAATTCATGAAAAAACTAGATGCTGTCATGAGACAGTTATACCCGCACTAAGGTGTTTGCCTCTAAATACACGCTCCTACATATTGGGCGGCTTTCCAAGGAAAAAGTCAAAATAATTCTATAATTTACATGTATTCATCAAATTGAGTATGAAATTCTCAGACCCTGTGACCTATAACTCAGAACCTCTTATATTTATTTTACATGCTTAATTCATTATATACCAGTTTGAATTCTATTAATGATGTAAATTAGATTTTGATAAATGTTTTGCTCATAATAGGACCTTTTTAAATTTACTAATCCCCCCCCCCCCCTCGACACCACAATCACACAGCACATACTTTTTGGAATAGGCTAGATGGAAAAGTTTTGTTAAAACATCGTTTGTTATGAATTATTTTAAAATTTGTTCTTGTACTATACATGTTAACATGTAAATTTCTACATCACATCACGTTGCGTCACCCATTATCATATTTTTAGATTAAACACCATTTGGCACACCTCGGCCGATTCCCACTTCATCTGATAAGGTGACGGAATCGAGGAAGGTTTGCCGAATGGAATTAGCACATGGCTGCAGTCTGGTGTGCATTGGATTAATTCATTTTGTGTTATAATTGGATTTATATTTCATGAAGTTGACGATCGGTAAGTACAAGTTTAAGTATAGTGGGGGGTAAAATAAACCCAAACGATTAGGTTAAAGTTCAAAAAGGGTCAAAGATCATCGCATGCCACACTAGACGAATTTCATATTGTGAAGTTATCTCCCGTTGTCGATGTGACATTCAGTTACTGCCAATACTGGTGCGGATCCAGAATTTTTTTTCGGGAGTAGGGAGGGGGGTTCACATCTCAGTCAAAAAATTCCAGCCCAGAATTTCCTGACAAGCAGGAGAAAAAAAAACTGAAAACAAATAAACAAAATAAAAACAATGATAGTGTGGTCAATGTTTTCTAAGTTAGGGGGAGGATGTCCAAAGTCATTTTTTATTTGCCTCAGTATATAGTCTTGTTTAAATAACAAAGCAAATTCCAGGGGGGGGGGGGGGGATGGGGGGATTCCAATCTCCCTACCCACTCCCTGTCCCTGAAATAACAATCTATTTTGTGATTCCAATTAAATAGTATATTTTTTTCCATTTGACTAATTATACATATTTTGTTTCTTGTGTTTATATTATGTCTGTCTATTTGTCTGCAGAAATTATAACCTTGCCCATAAGTTTTAAGTGGGATGGGCTATACAAATGGCTTCCACATTTTATAGGTTTATTTCTTGTGACAATAAAGACCTTTTATTTGGGTATCATTAATTTTTACCTCTGATCACTTGACCTAGGATACACATTTTTACAAGAAAAATACCAAACTTTAAACTTGGCCTAAATTTTGATCAGTAGGTGCTATAGTGGAGTGACAATCCTAGAAAAAGATGCTCAGTTTTCGAGTTTAATGGACCGGCATACCCTACGGCTGAAAGTTATATTTTATAAAAGAGACATCCCTCCTCATGCATTTTTGCCCGGTCGTAGAGTTTTCTCAAGTCAATTTTTTTTTAACTAGCGATGAAATTGAAAAGAAGGGGGGGGGGTATTTAAGTCATTTATTTTACTTGCTGATGATATTCTTTTTCAAAGATTAATTATTAATTAAAAAAAATACTAATTTGTGTGTGATAGGATAGCTACAGGTATCTAAATTAACAATGCAAAATAGATCAGGAATATTATTTGTCCCCCCTTTAAAAAAAACTAATGTTTTGTTATAGAAACTGCGTTAATTTCAACAAAATATATTCAATACAATTATTTCATGCAATATTAATAACGAATGTTTACTTTAGCGTTAGACAGATTTATAAGACAATGATTTCTGATCAAATAAACCGCACTTTTTTAAAGACACTAAGTCTTGTATTCTACTTGATCTGAAATGTTTTGTGTAACTGGAAACGGATTATAGAATCCCATTATGTCTATGACAGTGACTCCATCGATCAAAATATTGTTAAATATATTAAATTGGCTTCTATTATTAATAAGATAACGCTAATATTCAGTTTGAATTTAAAGTAATGAGCATTTGAAAGTAATTTTCCTTTTTTCAATTTAAAAAAATACGTAAAGGACAAGCATGTAACTTTTCCTTCACATTCTTGTTTGAACAAGGTATCTTGCATGATTGGATACTGGCAGTATTGCCTTTCTGCTTCATAAGCAATACAGATTAACACAAGTACAATACAGAAAGAGAAAAATGATTTTAGTATTTCATCTGTAGGACTGTCCATCACTTTACAGAAACTATTTGATGTTTCCTTCGGAAATATATTTAGTGTTCTCTACAGCAAAAACGTGGACTTCGTCATTATTCAAACTAAGAGATACATGTAATTTTGTTTACGCATTTCCTCATTTACATGTTCATACTGCCAAAAATTAAACTCTGTTACTATAATCCTTTATGAGCGGGGGTATCGTATTTTGCTTATTTTTCTTTTGAAAAGACGTAACAGAAAGGAAGATATGAATCAAAGTGAACCGTAAACGCAATCCACTGAAGTTTTTGCTTGGAAAACTCATGGTTTGTTCTGTCATAAGAAAGCCTTTTCGATATTTTCCTTTTGAGAAAGAATGATCAGTTTTGCTTCAAGAATTAATTGTCTAATATTAATTTTACAAATTTCAATGGAGACAGAAGACATAGTACTATATATATACGGTATATTTAACCAACCACAGAAACAACAAGGGGTTTTCAACATTCTTTTCAGGACTTCTGATGAAATGACAAAGATTACTGAGTATTTAGGCAATCAGCCTTTTTTCAAAATTCAAAGATATTTCCAGTCAGCAGATGAAAAAAGCCACGCACGACATGCATTTAATGTGAATATTGCCACTTGATTAACATTTTGCCCTATTCTAATTATTATCTACCCATATAAGTATCTTTTTAAGGATCGGCTATCATTACTTTTACAGTGTAGCTCTTTTACAAATTTTCTGCTTTTATAGTTTTCAAATGAAACATATTCTTAAAAAGTTAACAAGAAAGATATACATGTACGTGCATGTACATGAAAACCAATAAATAGAGATTACAGCTCTAACATACGTATTACGTCATTAATTTAACTCCACCCCTTTTCAAAGAATTGCAACTCTAACACCAATACGTGTTTAAAATCTTTAAAAACTCCAAAATCTCTACGATATAACCTGCTTAATTTATGAGTAAACGCTTTTTCAAAAGTTCACCAAATTAAACGTAATTTTTCAAATCATAGACGATATTCATTTAATAAAAAATTGACCTTTGTAGACAGAGAAAGGAATAATATTAACACTTTAAGTATTCTGTCCTTTGGATGAGACCGGAGTACCGAAATTCAGTGTGAGAGCAAGGATGACCTATAGATCTAGAAGAATTTTTATTAAAAACGTCGAACAAGTTCTTTAAAAAATAATGAATCAGATGAAAAAGGCTAAATAAAAACATTACATTTAAAAAAGTGCGAAATTTATGGTCATATTTCGTTTTTTTTAGGGGTGGGGAGTTTAGGGGTGATGGGTGTCGTTGTTCTTCTTGTTTTAATTTTCTTTATTTTGTGTACTAAATCTTACGTGATTGTACGTAAAGAATAACGTACATGAGCATTAAACCTTTTAAGTTTAAATAAAATACTATAAGACAAACCTTTCATTTTACAGACAGACAAACGGGCATTCTTATTCAATTTTTCGTTCCTTTTCCATGAAATCAATATATTCATCGAATAAATAAAATTCCTATACAAAT